GGGGGGGGGGGGATGAGGCCGCTACCTTAAGTATCATAATAGACATTTATTGTATTCTAAGTAAACCAATCTGCTAATAAAGGTGAAGCTTATTTTAAGTCTGTGCTTGAGAAGGAGAATGAACGTGAGGCAACTACTGCGACGACACTCACTATAACATTTTAACTGTTTCCTCTTGTAAGGTTCACACATACTTATTCAATATGGCTGGTTGGTGTGTTGCTATCATTCTCGCCCTGTCTACTCTGTATGGTGAATACAAAGTTCTGAGAAAAGACAATCCTCAACCATTCTCTCGTGCTGAGAATATCATATACGGGACTTTCTCGCGATGTGCGTGGAGCTTGGCACTAGCCTGGGTGATTTTTGCTTGTCATCGCGGGCTCGGAGGTAAGTTATTTGCAAGTGCAACAAAGACGTGAAATGGCCCAAATACGCGTTCTGTAACTCAAGGTTCTACCACATGGAAAATCAAATAAATACTTCAAGTTGTATTTTTATTACCGTACAATTCTGCTTGCCTCTTACTTACCTTTCAATATTCATCCTGGTGGGAGAATTCAAAAGCAATACAACATTCACATATTTACATAAAGAGAAGGAATTTTTGAAGCAGTATGAAAGACAGAGACAACGTACACAATACAATGTACAGATCTATACACCGCTGTACAGCGCTTGGGTTAATTGCAGTGGCACCTTGTTCTACCTCAGAAATAAGCCACTTCACACAAAAGAGAACATTTCTTGAAGTTTGCAGACGAATTAATTCCAGAAGGAAGAAAGGAAAATAAAGATTATTGTTGTTATTGCTATTGTGGTGCAGACGAATCGAGGGACTGGAGTGGCAATAACTTCTAAAATCTCGTTATGTTATGTTCAATGTGTAAAAGTAAAAAGAAACGAAAAATAGATAGAACAATGGGAGAGATAATATCAAGGTGTCTATACACAAGACCATTACATTATCTACGAGGTCGGAAATGATGGTAACTTTTCCTTGCTTTTTCTCTTTTGAAGGTTTGGTAGATAGGATCCTGTCTGCTCGTTTCTGGATTCCACTAAGCCGCCTGACATACTGTGCTTATCTTGTGCACATTATTGCTCTGATAGTATTAAGTGTATCATATGAGACCGTACAAGCCTATTCTGATGTCCACACTGTGAGTAACATTTGCTTGATAATAGTCATGAATTTGACTTGTGTATGACATGAGACACTCCTTTCTGATTTCGAAAGGTTTGCTTCTGTTCTTTGTAATATAACTGCGAGTTTAACAAATTTTACTTTTAGTTAAGTTGATAGGCATTACTATAGCGGTCATTCCATTATTCCTACAGGTGTAGTTTCTCTTATCATACTTGCCAGACATACAACTCATACATTACTTGCAAAGAATTTCGGACGATTTTAATTTCGGACAAAAAAAATTGTCCGAAAAGAAAACCGTCCGAAATATTTACATTATAGTTTAAAATTTTTGAGTAGCTTTAAAGCTCTTAGTTTCCTTTATGAAGCGAACTCTAGTTGAGACACTCCTTGAGATACGAACGGCTTCATAGAATTTATATTAATTTTTCCTCGGTATATCTCTACAACCTTGAAGGTGCAGAAAAAACTATCATTTTCGCATATGTCTTTTCAGTCTAATTCGTGTCTTCTAGGCGTAAATTTGCTTAAATTATGTTTCATCACAGTGTCCGAAATTGTCCGAAATGAGGTAAAAAGTGTCCGAAAATTAAAAGTCCGAAATAAAACATCCGAATGTTTTGGAAGTAATGTGTCTTACTCTCCTTCTATCTTTGCAGGCCTTTTGTTTTGTGGGCGTGGTCGCCATTTCATACGCAGCAGCCTTCATTGTGTCTGTGTGTGTGGAATTTCCCATGATGCAACTGGAGAAGCTAATTTTTAAAAGTGATCGTTGAATTTTGACGTCATACAAGCCACTTTTGACTCAGTTTCTTATTGTATCATATCATAACTTTTAGTTTAGTGGTAAGATAAGATACCCGTGTAACGCTCTTACTCGTAATAGCTGGGAAAAGTGTGCTCTCTGTTCTTTACGTAATATATCAAACACGAAAAACCGTGTTTGACTACATTTTGAAACACCGAGAAGAGAGTAGAAAATACGACGCGCAGCGGAGTATTTTTGACGAACTTCAAGGTGTTTGGACATGTGGTCAAACACTCTGTTGATTGCTTGATATATCTTCTCGATCGAAACTAAACCTAAGGAGAAAACGGAGAAACAAAATCGTAAAAATTTATGCTAATTAAGATCAGATATCCAAACACCGTTATGAATTATTAATGAGTTTGAGAAGTAAACTTTCACATTTTATCTTTACTTTAGGGTTAGGTTAGGGGTAAGGGTATAGAATATATAAAGTAAAGAAAAGCCTAGCCATATAGCGGCTTAAAAACGAAGGAGTGAACGAGCCTAAAGTATATTTTACTTCAAGTAGAAATAACGTGTAATATAGTAGTTTAACAAAAGGGCCTCAGTAGAAATCTATGAGTGCATGGTTAGACATTTGCACTAGTAAAGGAGTGCAACAAGCATCACTGTCAGGTCAATACTTTTTCTCATTTCCATCAAAGACATTTATGTGTTATAAGAGCTACAAGAGTTTATCATTATTCTATTTGCAGATGACACCAAGTTGTTTAGAGCGATAAAAATTTTGATGCGTTTTTAAATGCCGTAAATCAGAATTGAAAGAAATTACTTTGTGGCTCTCAACAAAGAAATTATCATTGAAGTTAACCCGAAACTCGTTTCATAGAGTTGGACAAAAAAAAAGAAAAAAAAAGTTACTGAATAACTTGTCTGATGAAATCAAAGAAATGACAATAGAACAAGTGAACTATACCAAATTTTTAGGTTAATATATTGATGATGAACTCTGATGGAATACGACATAAAACAACTTAAAAATTAAAAAAATGTTGAAAAAATCAAGAGATATCGGTAGAGCAGGCCACTACCTATCTCTAAAGAGTGCAGTCATTGTGAACTGTAATACCGTGGTATAGCGTTACTTGATATATTGTATCATTACTTGAACCAATTCGACACGTATGCAATCAGTGTTCAATTATTATGACACGGTATATAAGTAAGCGAGAATTATGACATTCCTGAAATTCAGATTTTTACGTCTCTGAAACTAATGACCATATGAGCTCCACAAGTACATTATAGTTCTTTGTATGTATTTATACGTCAATGAACTTCAATGATGACTTACCTTTGAACTTCTACGCAAGTTACAACAAGCCCTCAGTTTTAAACGTTCCTATTGACTAATAGAGTACTATATTACGGAAAATTCTCTATAAGGTACAGAGGGAGCATAAATATGGAATCATTTGCCTGAAAGTTTTTAAACTTTGTAAGATGGCTCTTAAAAAAAAACATATAAACTTATTTTTGTATACAAAATAATTAGACTGATTTTAAATGCAGGTTTTAAAAATGTCTTGATTCCAAACAAAAGCTTCGTTATGTTTATGTTAGCCATCACAAAAAAATGTAATTGATGTATTGTTACTTTTTTTGACTGGGACGTCTCTGAAAAGCCCGTTAGGACTTACAGAGATCTCCATATAAGTATCACATGTAATCAGTTAATATTTGTATTGTGATGGGCTAAATAGATGAAGTAAATAAATCATGAAAAAGATAAGGAATCTGAGAGGTTTGTACCCCAGATGTAAGATTCGTTTTACCGTTTACAAACAAAAGGATGAAGGTGAGAGTGAACGCTATTCGGATTTATCATGTGCCCTTTCTTTTTCTTTTTCACTTGGAGTCGTTCGAACTCCAGACCTAAAATGATTTGCCTTTTGTTGCTTAACATG